GGAGCAGGGTCTCCTGTCTCAGCGCGAGAGAGGGGTACCCCCACGCGCAGAGCGCCCTCGCACCCCGAGGTTCAGAGAGAGCTCCCCGGAACTGGGATCTTGTCCAGAACTGGGAGGCTCGTGTCTCTACAGAGAAGTTCCCCAGCCCTGCGCAGACACGCGAGTTAAACCACACTGACCCGCCGCACGGGCGCTTGGGGAGACCTAGCGCCCACAAACCGCGACAGTAAGAGTCAGCTGTCACACGAGGAGCGGCCCGGTGATGGCGGGCCCGGGTCCGACCGGCCTGCCTCGCTCTCAGCCTCTCCCCTCCGTGTCTCGCAGGGCGCCGCCGGATCACCGTGCTAAGTGGATTGAGGGAGACGGGCCGAGGGGCCGAGCGGAGCTGCGGGATTAGAGTCTAATCTGGGACGCGAGCGAGATCCCAGCAGGCAGGGCGAGACCTGGGCGCCTGCGGACCGGCTGGACTCTTCCCGGGGGAAGGAATATCCCAAGGGAAGGGACAAGGGACATTATAGGATCCTACAGGATTTGCTGTGACACAAGTGTAAATTGCTGCACTCTCGCCTCCCGACTGGATACTATAACTGTCACTTGACTGGCCCCCGAGGCTGAATTCCCGGACTCTCCGTTCCAAACCAAGAACCCGAGATCCGCGCTCAACGTGGGCGTGACCCGGGCACTGGCGACCCTGCTGGACCGGACCGGACCAGAACCGCACCGGAGCGGGCTTCGCACCATCTTCGGACCGGACCGTTTCTGCCCCAGTCCTCGGATCCCAGCTGGGCCCCGGGCTGAAGCGGACCCTCCCTCTCTGCAGCGGTACAACTCCTGAGGGTCGACAAACCGGCCGGCCGGGCTGCAGGAAGACCCTGCGTTCAGTCTGGATCGAGGCGGCGGGTGAGTTTGTGACCTCTGACCTGTGTCGGGCTGTATCCTGCTGGAAGTGCCAACTGGGCATCGCTCTCCCGGCAGAGGCAAGCGGGCAGGGCCGTCGGGTCGCGGGGCACAGGGTCCCGTTGGGGAAAACACGTCTTATTTTCTGGTTCAGGAAAAGGTGCCGGCGGCGCAGGATATCTGAGAAGCGGAGAGAAAGTTCCTGGAAAAAAGTCAGCTCCCTGTAAAAAAACACAAGCTGTTTTAAACCCGCCGAAATCCAATTAGGGCTCGTTAACAACTTTATTTATAAACTCCCCGCGAAGACGGGTGGAGAGCAGCTCACAGCCCGCCACACACAGCGTGGAAGCACTCAGGGAAGAGGGACACGAGACAGGCGTGTATACTCCACTATATTGACAGGAGGAAGGCCCTGAGACAGGCGTGTATACTCCACTATATTGACATGAGGAAGGCCCCGCTCGTGATGGTAGCATGTACCGTACGCATTTAAAAGCCCAACGTTTAAAAAGCCTTCAGTCACGACCCCGTGGAAAAGACCACCCAGTGTCTGTCCCTGTCCGCGGTGTGCTGCCGGTCTCTCCGGCGCAGGTCTGGGTCTATAAAGGCGTTTGTTTCCATCGCGGGTGAAGATGAAGGGGGCCAGAGGGCGGCCCCCCCGGCGGGTCAGTGACTTGTAAGAGCCGGGCGAGCTCTCTCGTACACGCTGGTCTCGTGTGGGCGGCGGGAGACGGTCTGGGGGGAGCTGCTGGAGAGCCAGGCCCGTGGCATGTGGCAGGAAGCCTGGAAAAGAGGGTCTGGGAGAGGAGAGGAGGAGAGTGGGCTGGCGCGCTCTGGGGGTCTGGGCTGAGGGTCTGGCTGTGTTCTGGAGTGAGAGTGGGGGTCGGAGCCAGACTCTGCCCAAGTCAGGGTCTAGACAACCGGGTGGTCTGCAGACTTCGCAGAGTGGAGGCCCAGGATCTGTTCTGTGCATCAGATCCTCCCTGCAGAAGCAGAGCCCCTTCTAGAACCCGGCCCGTTCTAGAACCCGGTTCTCGCACAGACCCTTCCAGCACAGGGTAACCACAGCCAGTCTCATAGCTGGTGTGCGTGCTGGCCACTCTGTGGTGCGGCGTCTCCGGTGGGCTGGCAGGGCCGGTCTCCGCGCCAGGAGCAGGGAGGAGCGTTGGGGTTCTGCTGCCGCAGCGAGATTTTCCCGAACTGAGCCGGGAGCCGCTCCAGGCAGGCCAGATTGTTTGTGTATACAAACCGCACGCGCGCATTCCCGAAAGCTGGGCTCGGAAATTCCTTCCTGCTCGTTCCCAGCCCCCACCCTTTCATCTGGTTTTTCTCCCGTTGCACAACCGCAGGATTGGGAAACAGCATGGGGCCGGAGAGGGATCCGCGTGACGGCGCTGCGCTGGTGCCCGAGCCAGCGTCTTAACCACCAGCAGCTGGGCTGTCGACCCCCGCCTGCCCCCGCCCCGCCCCCACCCTGCTCGTGCCCCAGTCCCTGCCCCAGCTCCAGCCCTCCTAGTGCCCCATCCCCTCCTAGTGCCCCAGTCCCTGCCCCAGCTCCAGCCCTCCTAGTGCCCCGCCCTGCTCGTGCCCCAGTCCCTGCCCCAGCTCCAGCCCT